CATACATACATACATACATAGTTTATTTAGTACCCAAATATTTACAAAAGTATATAAATATATTTTTGAAGATTACAGTAGTGGTACTGATTAGATTTGATATTTACAAGCGAAATGTATAGTACAAAAGATAGAAGACATTTACATATGTACACAAAAAATATAAATATATAGATATACGTAAATACAAGTATTAATTGAAAGAATAAACAAGCAAAGGTACAGTGTGGCCTAGAATAACTAAAAATCTAAACTAGCTAGGCCACCCATCTATTTAACAAACCATCCAATCAACCAACCATCGTCCAACCATTCATCCCATCTGACATTCATCCAACCATTCTTCCATCCATTTATCTGAAACAACCAATTAAACGATCAAAGAACCAATTATTATTAATTAACAATTATTAACAATTTTGAACCCTTACGTTCCAACTTCGATTGCCAACTGAACGTTATATTCTCTGTTCTCAGCATCAAGCGAATCAAAGTCAAACTTATCAGGGTGAAACTTGTGAATGAGAGCACAGAATGCCAGGCCATTGTTAAAGCTGCCACTGAAGTTTTGAATGTTCACACCCTGTAAGGTAAAAGATGATGGAGGAATTTGACAACTCCTAAATTGTGGAATAGTCTTCCACAATAACCATGCAGTGAGTCTAGCATTTATTTATTTTTAATCGAATCTTATACACAGCTATTTTTAAAAAGGTCGAAGGGGCGAACGGTGATCGGTGATTGGCGATTGCACGACCGAAAGGAATTATGGAGTAATAAGAATGTCTTGATCACATAAGTTAAATATATGCACCATTCATGGAAGATCTTGGATGGTGAGCTAGTTGACGCAGTTGTTATTCGATTCATGTCTACGTATAGTGTGACCACAGTTCCTTTCGGTCGTGCAATCACTAATCACCGTTCGTCGTTCGCCCCTTCAACCTTTATTCGGCTGTATTTCGTACATCAGTGCAGTTGCTATTTCTTCACTTTTAGATTAAGCTATAAATAGGTATTTTTAAGTATTGTATTTCCTATTATTTGTTTAGTCAGTACCTTGTATTCTCTAGTAACATCTTGACACCACGCCAGAACCAATGATGAAACTGACTTCTGTCGCTTTAGTTCAGGTTTCTTCTTCAAAACTCTTGGTCTGTTCAAGAAGAGAGAAAATACCATCTTCATGACAGGCGATAAGATATTTTATAAAGTTATGCAAGGGATTTACTGCCCTTTAAGCTGACAATTTTTACTGGTAAACAAACTAAGTTATTAGTAACTTTTAGCAAAAAATTTCGCCAAGCTTTTAGTTTAATTCGATTAGAATTCGTCTTAGTCAGGAGAAACCGCCAAAAATTAAAAACTGCCGGGCATTTATCATAAAAATAATCACAGAAATTTTTCATTTTTTCAAATCAGAAATTTTTCAACTTTTCAAGAGAGTCGTTCGCATATTTTTGCCGAGCCCGAGGAAAGGAAAACACGTCAAATTGAAATCCGTTAAGCTGAGGATCGAGAATCGCTTGAAGTCTCTTTACAAAGATAGGTCACTTTGATTCAATTAGAATACATTAGAATTCGTTTTAGAAGATAAATCGCCGAAATCCGCAATCTGCTGCGAGGCAGGATCCGCCAATCCTTAAAATTTTACTCTGGTTCCGTAATCCGGACTCTGAGGAAACAACAGAAAATAATCGACATTACGCTATTCTGTACCATTGACAGTGCAAAATAAATCTAATAGTACAGTTTCATAGATTAAGCCAGTACTTACTCTTTCCTTTGGGATGCAACTTTCTCCACTTTTTTCGTTGTACTTTCTGTAGTTTTAACCTGTTCTCCGTTCTCTTGCTTGGCCTGGGGTTTTGTTGATGTAGAGGAATAATTCGTCGAACTGCTCAAAACCTTTTTCTTCGCTGACATCGACGGCCTCTTTGGTGCGTGTTCTTTTTTCTCTTCTGTTTCCAAAGCTTGGCGGAAGAACGCCATTCGATCAGCTACCGTGCCACGTTTACTCATTTTGCTGTCTTCTCTCGAAGCCTGAAGAAAAGTTTTTCAGTCGTTAAATGTAAACGTAGTGTAAAATAGCACTAAAATACCAAAATAAGGCGAAAACAGCGTCATATTTTGTTTGATAGGTCCCTTGGTATAATAACCCCCTTCTCGAGACATAAACAATAATATAAACTAATGATTGGCCCGGGATTGACAAGTTGTATGAGAAAAACAGTACTCGAGTCTTGATTCCAACATATGACCACAATCAATGTCCGCCTTTCTTGGGAAAAAATTAAACGAGTAAAAGTTACAAATAAAAAATAAAAAATGTCTCTTTATACATTTGTGTATTCTGTTTGATGTGAAGAGCCTCAGGATATTGTGAACCAATTTAGACTGAAAACCCCATCCTTTTGTCATTAATGAGACCCATGCAGAGAAAAGCATGCTTTGTTTTTCAGAGTCATGTCTTCCTCGAGAAATAAATACTGATCGCTACAAGATGTAGCTTTAACGTCGAAGTTGGAAATTTTTCCGTGAAAGAGAAACAGTGTAGCGATTCTCAAACGGCTTCCAATTTAAACCAATCAACAACTAAGACAGCACATTTGATCCAATCACGATGCTATATCGATGGAAGCCATTTGAGAGTCGCGGTTATACTACTAAATCTGCTCCATGTTGATGCTGTGTAGAGGCACCCAAGGGCTTATTTGTTTTCTTCAGTTATTGAGTACATGTTTTTACTTACCACTTGTGATCAACATATCATCTAAAGTCAGCAACTGAACGTTTTATTATTTTACTAAGATAGGCCGGCAGTTACGTTTTAGTGTACTTACTAACGGCAGATATGAGACAGTTCTACGTACTAATACATTATTATGTCATTATTGAGTAAAGAAAGGAGCGATATCTACGTCACAGGGGAATTAAATCATTATTGCTTGTGTCGACAGGAAAATCCTTGGTTTCTTTACTAAACGAAAGCTTACAATTGAAATGCTTCTCTTCTGATTATTATCTAAGACTTCAATTTGTGATAATTTCCGATGGATTGTACTCTCTAACAATGTAGAAGAACGTCTTTCCGGGGGAGTAAGGTAGTGGTTTGATCCTGCTTAGGGTAGGGAGGGTGCATCTACGCAATTTTTAAAACCCTGTATGGCCCTAATGTAAGCAGCTCGTTTTCACGATCTTGTCTATCCTACTAAAGATTATCTAAAAATGAATATTGAAGACTGTGATGATAGACCAGATAGACTAAAGAGTCATACTACATTAGAACCAAGGTATCCATTATGTAGCGCTAAGCCAGTCCCTGTTCAGATCATGATCAAAACTGAGTCAGCGAAGGAAAATACCTCCCCCAGGGCGTGCCAAATATCCATTATCTTGCACTTCTCTTCTGTCTCTCAATTAGTTTTCTAGATGACTTTCTATTATTCGATACAAGGCTTCAAAACATCCAGTCACATTACTGGATTGGTCTTTTTCTAAAAATGAATCCATGGAAAATAGAATTCATATTCTTGTTGCACAACGTTTGCACTGACCTAAAACACGTCTCTGTTGAGTTCGTCAGAATTGCCAGAGTTCCTTTACTAACTGATCTTTACTAATTTACAAATACCTTCAGATTTGGTCACCACTTCGCAATATTAGAAGGCAACGTCTTCAATTTGCGATCTTTTCAACATACAGAGTCAGCTGCAGCCTTAGCTGGTAGGATTGGATATCTGAAGTCGGTCAGTTCTACGCACCAAGCTCTCTAGCTGAACCATCCAACCAAAACTGCTAATTACCTTTCTGAAGTGATCTCAAGCTATGGTCCGTGAATAATAGATCTTGATGTCCTGTAGAGAATTTTATAACTTTACCCTATGCGATAATGACATACCTTAGCCTATTGACCCCGGCTTTTTAGAAGGCTTAGTGTGAATTTTGCTGAGTCGATTTTTATTTGTTTTTAGCTATTCGTCATGGTTTTATTCTAACTTGTTTAACTGTGGAGAAGTAAGATGTTCGTGAGGAGACTCACTGAGCAGGTAAGAACAATATACAAATGTTCCTAATATACAAATCGAGCTTCTGCTCTTGGGGCAAATTAAAAAATAAATGAGTCTAAATAAAACTGAATTTAAAATATATGTTGTACAAAGTAATGTATTGTGTGGGACAATTATGTTTAATAATACTTTACCATCATTTTCTTTAGAATTAAATGTAAGTACGGAGATCCTTGGAAAAATTATTAGAATGTTGAACATTGAATTAAATAATCGACCATACTGATTCATCTTGACAACACATCATCAGTAAGAACAAAATAGGATATTTCAAATATATGGCATACGACTTTACATTTATCGCTACTTTGTGCAATTATCGCAGTGGTCTGTCTTTAATCTGTGCAATAACGCGACCTCAAATTACCACCCTAAACGAATCGTTCTATAAGATCAAATGGTTTTAGTGGATAGGTTTATGTATGATTGTAGAACATTCGCAATTTTATTTATCTAGGATCGCAGTCATTGAAATTTGGCTTTGGAATGTAGCAGAAAGGTTGCGCATGGAAAATGAAATTGAAAAATTAATGTATTAGCGGTGATCTTGATTATACTGATGTAATGACACTGGAGACACAGGATACCCATCTGCGAAGCTATGCTTTCGAAAATACACCATGCTGAAAACGGGAAAAAAGATGGGAGTCAAATTTAGTCTTTCTTCCCTTCCCTTCCCTTTCTTTCGTTTCCTTTTCTTCTTTCGTTTTTGTTCCACAATCATTTCTCGGCTTTCACTAACAAAGGAATTAAATGCTACAAAGTTCTGTAAAACAAAATTTATTTTCTTTTCACACTTGATCTGACCGTATACAAAAATAAAAATACATTATGGTAAAAATACATTATTAATTGCATTTTGTATTTCATAAAAACAGCTAAAACTAACACTAAAATGACGTGAATTATACTAGAATTATTAAAATCATAATAATTATTAATGTACTAAATTGATTGTAGGATTCTTCGTGTTAAATTCAGTTCTGAAAATATCGTGATTTCAAAGAAGCCCAAAATGGCCGCTTCGTATAAAATGTCTATCTTTTTCTGTTCAGAATATATAGTTTTTCTGCCCTAAAAGTTTTCCCAAAATGACATTAAGCATGATCATCTATTTTCTGTAATAATAGCTAATAATAGTCATTAGTTCATATCTTTTAAAGTTTAAGAATTTGAAGCTTTCATTGGGTGAGGATCGCTAAAATGGCGGCGATGACGTCACTACACGGGCCACTAACAACACAGGCAGTCCAAGTTACTGACAGCTTGGAATCGTAAAAGTCGCTTAGACTTGGGATTCCTGTGGCTTTTAAGACGGTAGATTTGGAAGGAGGGAACGTTAGATGATTTTTTAGGGGTGCTGCAACGTTTTTGTACCATTTCTAGTGTTGTATTCCAATAACGAGGCCCAATACTCATCTGCTATAAAAACTGTTTTCTAAAATTGGTTAAAAAATAAAAGCAAATCCTAATCTCCTTGTTCCCAGGCCGCTTGCGTTAAAACTAGAAGAGCGAGCCTGAGTAAGAGTGAAACGATCAATAGATAATGATAGCGCTGTTAGATGTCGGTGTGCAGCTCACATGGCAATTGCTAAGAATAGTAATGTTAGATAATATATATACGTTATGAATAGAAAATGCACAACGCGATATCTCCATTAGAATGAATTCCAATCCGACCAATGAGAAGCGAGAGAACGCACTTCAACCAATCAACGAGCTTGAACCCGGGAAACCATTTGATAGTCGCGCATGCGCGTTTTCTATTCATAAGACACCTGCCCTGTTAGATAATATAATTTGTTTCTCTTAAGTAATAGAAATAAGAATTCTTCATGATTTAAGGAATTTATAGATATATCATAAATAGTCATGAACTATGCTATTCTGAGATTCGACATATCTAAATCCTTGGGGCGGTACTTGCTAAAAATCATCTGGACGTAGCATTGGACGCTTCGAGGCTCTGGCTTCTTTAATCGAAACATGTCCTCTACATCAAGTAGAGCTGGTATGCCGACAGAACTGTGGATAAAATACAAAAGCAGGAATATTAGGAAAACCTTATACAATCGAGACATGAATGCGTGGTTTTGTCAGCTTATGTGTACAAGCCACGGCAACGGTGTAAGCATCTGTCGAGTGTGCGATGCCTGCGCGCGCAGATGATTGGTTCTCCCCTGAAGAACACGTGGAAATGAAATATACTTCCCTTTCTCTCTCACATCTCTTTTAAAAGAAGTAGGAAAGGAATAAAGCTCTTAGGCACGCACGATTACGATCTCGAAAATACAAGACTAGTACTCGGGCAATATTCAATTCACGCCAGCCTCAACTCACCTTGCAGTGTCGAAAGCCAATTGAAAATTATTCCATCTGTCTTCGGCGTTCAGAGAGTTGAAATCAAACTTGTCCGGGTTGAACTTGTGAATGAGAGCACAGAATGCCAATCCGTTTGCAAAGCTGCCACTAAAATTCGTTATGTTGACTCCCTAAAACAAACCAAAGTCAACACATTCAGTTGGGTTACAGTTACTGCGTCTTGGACGTTTTGACGTTGGGCTTTTTGGTATCCCACCCTCTTTTCTCGCGGATCGAACACGCTTTGTCTAGAATGAGGCAGTGCGCAACCGACATATAGGCCTGGTTGTACGAAGGGTGGATAGCGCTATCCGACGGATAAATTTTATCTAATGGATAATTTTATTGGATAACAGCATCGACTTATCCACTGAATAAGGATGATCTTTAGTCACGTAATAATAGCAAGAGTGATGTGAGCTGCTAATGCGCCACCTGGGTTCCATCTCCTGACTCGCCATCACAGTTTCCAGTTGGTTCTCTCCTGTACTTCAAGCGTATTTCTCCGGGTCCTCCGGTTTTCCTCCCTCCGCAAGAACCAACTTCTAAATTCCAATTTGATCATGTTTGTTAGCCACTGGTTATTAAGCGCTACCTCATAAAGCACAGACAAAAGTTAGCGTAAGGATATTAGTTTAGATGTAGTTTTACCGGATATCCCGCGGTGACGTCTTTACACCATGTTAAAATGAGAGATGAGACTGACATCTGACGTTTTAATGGAGGCTTCTTCTTTAAATCTCTTGGTCTATGAAAATACAAAATGTGCAATTTAATTAAGAGCAGTAGTAGGCATCGTATTCCATCTCCTTAATTTTGCTAGAATGTGCAAAGTTTACCCATTTAAGACCACGTGTCATTCCCTAAAGTATCTCATTTCTTTGTTTAATGGTTGCGCACGGTACAACCGTCAAACAAAGAGTAGGTTACCTGACAAATTGATGGGTTGCAAGCATTCCCAAGAAAGTCAAAAGACAAAAACAGTGGTGCCGTTAACAATGGTTGCTAATGCGAAATCTTTCGTTAAATTGCACCAACGCTCCACCGACAGTCCGCGATGATGTAATGTGCAATTGAAGAGTACGAATACTGTACTTACGTTTTATTTGGATCAGGAGCTTTCTTTAGCGATACTCTCTCCTTGTTATCGTTTGTCGCTGGAGGAGTCGGAGGAGCATTACTAACAGGAGTTGGAGATGGAGGAGGTACTTTCTTTACTGGCTTTTGTTTTGATGCTTGCTTCTTCTCTAATTCAGCTTGTTCTCTAAAATACTTCATTCTGTCTGCTACTGAACCAGTTAGTTTTGCTGGCGCCGACGCCTGAAGACCAGCACAAATACCATTAATAAGTGAAGAAAGGAATAATACTCAATAGACTCTTATTAGCCTGTTTTCCTATTTCAGACCACGTGTCATTCTCTAGAGTATCAATTCTTTGTTAAACGGTTGCGCTTAAGAAGACACATGAATATGGATACAACTGGCAAAAGAATCTTATTCTCATGAGAATGACACGCGGTTAGAAAAATACCATTGAGAAGTGAGGAAAAGTATAATACTCAATAGACCATTAGGCCTATATTTCCTAATTTCAGACCATGTTTCATTCCCTAAAGTATTATTTCTTTGTTTAACGGTTGCATACGGATATGGATATACGGATATGTATATGTATAGAGCTCAAACGAACGAAGAATATTATTTCTACAGGTGGTATGTAATGTGAAAAAATATATGCCCAAATTAAAGAATTCTGCAGTCTGTTACACTATACCTCTTCTTTTCCTGGAAAGAATGACTTTGGTCCTGTGGATCCTGGTCGGCCACCAATACGTCCAGGTTGTGGTGCTGGTCTTGGAGGCTCATTTCTACCAAAGCTGTTCGTACGTTCTGGTTTGTTCACACTGTTTGTGCCGTAACTGAACCGCTTGGTGGCTGAGGCTGGAGATGGGCTTTCCTCCTTCAAAGGTGACAATGTCTCCTCTTTTTTGTCTTGGTAACTGATTGTGTTCCCTTCTACTCGGAACTTATCTTGCATCTCCTTCCTCGACGTCCTGCGAATGCGTCTCTGTTCTTTCACTTGTTCGTCACCTTCAGATGTGCTAACAAGTTTGACTGAATCTCCCTGCTTCACGTACATCAGTCCCTCCAGCTCATCACGGTTTTGGATCTCACGAACAGATCTCCTTCTACTGCGCAAGCGTCCAAGATTCTGAATAAGATCTTTTTTAGTCTGGTCATCCTGCTTGATGACGTCCCTTCGCGAAGACGGCGGACCGCTGACCGGAAGCCTTGCACTCTCAGGTATGTCAGGTTGAGCCATTCGCGCCTTTCTTCCACCTTTAGCATCTTCATCGATCTTGAAGAGCTCAACTAGTGATTTACGACGGCTCATCCTCTGAGGAGCAACAGCTACACTTCCTCTATCCATGTTTTCTTGATTGTTGTTATTGTAATCTTGATCTTTTCGTGGTCTTTTTTCTTCAACTGCTGAACCGTTATTCTGATTTATTTGATGTCTTCTCGTTTCAGTTTCGACTTTACTACTGCTCATCTCAAACTTATACGTACTTCTTGTCACTCTCACCTCTTTGCTCTCGTTTTTCAGAGACGCTTGCACAGGTTCCACGTAATTTTTCGATTTTTTCTCAAAATTTTCAGAAGGTCTGTTCATAGTAAGCACAACTGGCGAGGATGACACTGTGCTCCGGGGTTTTTCAAACCCATTTTCATTGGAAAGCTTTTCTTTTTTAGCTCTTAATGCTCTTAACTCAGCGCGGATCTTTCGTCTCTCGTCTATTTGCTTTGTTTGTTCCAACTGAAGAGAGAATAAATTAAGGGATAAATCAACAAACTAATCTATCCTGTTTTTATCATTGCGCGCACCGTCGTCTTGAAAATCAATGGTACCCAAGCAAGTTGTAAGGCCCTGGCTAAACGAGGAAACATGTTCAAGAAACATGTTGCCCGCGCGCATGTTCCCCGATGATTTCAAGTTTAGCCACATGCGAAACATTGCTACGTGCAAAAAATTTGCTTCCAAGACGCAAAAATGTTTCTGCTGTGCGGCAGAAACATTTCATGCTTCCAAGACGCATGGAAACAATGYTTCCCAATGTTTCCTCGTTTAGCCACGAAAGTCAACATTCTAAAAGTTCGTTACTTAGCAACGCTAGCTCTATCTTGAAAGTGCGCATGCGCTAACCGATATTGAGTAAACAATTTCCCGATGTTCCCTGAAAGTTTTGCCACCTTTGGAAACATTTAAGAAAACATGTTTCTTCGTTTAGCCAGGGCCTAATAATAATAATAGTTTATTTAATCACGTTTCATCCAAGAGCGTAGAGCCCGTTCAAAATACGAACGTTGTAAAGATGACTTCCTGACAAGGACGCTTTGATGAAGACGACAGCGCGCGCATGGAAAAGAGCGTGATTTGTTCAGCAACTTCTTTTATGGTATAATATACAAACCTCTTCCCTTTTCTAAAACAGGAAAAAATATCAACATTTCAAAACGCAAGAATTGAAGAATAGTGAAGTAAGTACGAATAATAAGTAATTCTTTATCAGTAATAGTACGCTATCGTAGACCACCTACATGCACCCTCTTCGATTAACATGCCTGTACAGTTATCAATTAATCTTTAATTTAACAATCTCGCGCAGGCAGGACGCCCACATCATCCCCACTTGTTAACTCGGTTTTAATTAGTGCGATATGCAATAGTAATATTACGCCTATGGCTACCCACATAATGCCTGTGTTATCTTGTTGATTAAACTCAGTTTACCTCGCCATTACATTCAGTCTCAAAGTTTAAATAAGCAATTTTTAGCCGGGCCATATCCGATTCAATGTAGCGTCGAAATCTTTAATATATACTCGCTCTGCGCGCACGTTTTCGAAAACCAAAGACTGCATTCGTTTTGGTCAGCTGTCGTTACTAAAAGCTCTAATAATAATAATAATAATATAATAATTAATAATAATAATAATAATTACATGTTTTACCAGGGTAAGCTCGTCAGCAAACAGCTGTTATCAAGGAGCGCCCTGGGG